AGCACCATTTGCTGAAGATGCTGTCTTTCCTCCAGTTAATGTTCTTGGCCCCTTTGTCAAATATCAGGTGGCTAAAATTGCAATTACTCATATTTGGGTGTTCGATTTTGTTCCATTGGTCTATGGGTCTGTTTTTATGCCAGTACCATATTGTTTTTATGACTATAGCTCTGTAGTAGAGCTTAAAATCTGGTATAGTAATCCCCCCAGCATTGCTCTTAGTTCTCAGGGTTGTTTTGGCTATCCGGGGTCTCTTGTGCTTCCATATGAATCTTATGTGCCACCACGCCCAACTTCTTGTAGGGTTACATTTCTAGTGCAGAAAAAGCTCTCTTAATGCAGGGTGGTGCTTCCACTTTTATCATGGTTATTATTTTGTATGTTTGACTTTTCAGATTGTCCTTTGTTTGGTTATTGGGGATTTTTTTTTTTTAAAGACAGTGCTTCATGTAGCCAAGGATGGCCCTGAACTCCTGATAATCCTACTGTACTTCTACATGTGAAATTATAGGCCTACACCACCATGCCTGGATTTCAGTTTCCTCTTTTAGTAACAGGAAGCATTAGGCCACATTACTCCTAGGAATTGAGCCATTGACAAACATGGTTAACACAAAAAGATTAGCCTAAGCATCAAGTGTGTCCTCCGTCCTGTGTGTCATCATAGTCCTTCACGTACACACACACACACACACACACACACACACACTTGAGACAGGGTCTCTAGCCCCAGCTGACTGATCTCTAATGTTCATGTATCTAAGGATGACCTTAATCTTTTGATCCTTCTCCTTCGTACTCCCCAGTGCTGGGATTACAGGGGTATGCCACTTGCCCATGGGTTTCCCCCTGAGTTTTAAAGGAGGAGAGCACCAATGTTGGGTGCAATTTGTATATCTGAGGTGAGAGCACGTAAACCAAGATGCTTATAATTTTGGTAGAATTTTGTGGTTTTCTTCCTACTTATTAACATTTGTTAATTTAATATGTTGGTTTGAAATTTTCTTTCTAAAATCTCATTTTTGATTCAGGCCTTATTGGCTCTAGATTTGGAATTTTGAAAAAAGAACAAAACAAAGTCTGTTCTCACCATCGCCAGCTATAGAATGTGTGCCTTCCCCGAAATGAGCCATTTTGCTATATTGGCATGGTTGTATAAAGTCATTTTTCCTATTAATCTTTCTACTCCTTTACCCATTTTATACAGAGAAGATCCTGCTGATACGCCATCACTTCTCTTTCCTGAATTCAACTTCTCCTGTATTCTTTCTGCTTCAGTCAAACCTGGGAAGGGAGTGTGCTCAGAAGATAAGGTGCTTGGGAGACTCAGAAGCCTTGCACCTTCTCCTGCTAGAATAGTCACTTCCTTTGCATTGTTCTCAGAGATCAATGACCTTTGGGAATAAATGAAATCACACACTTTACTCAACCCTTGAGGGGAACCTTGGCCTTCCCACTTTCCTGTGTCTGGGTCTAACATCCTCTATTTTACAGATCCCAGGTTAAGTTTCTGTTAGCCACACTGAACCAGAATAAAGGATTATAATGTCTTTTTTCTCAAACATGGTATTTCCCTGCTTTGTCCCCCAGAGCCCTTCTCTAGTCTGCAGCACAATCCAAAAGAAAAGCTTGCTGGAGTATAGAGTACTCAAAGGGTTTCAGGGTACAGATAAGTAAACAAGGAAAGCAGTATGTTATCGTTGTTAACAAAGAAAGGCTAACATTTACCCCAAGAGCCCCCAGGATTCCATTCTGCTGGCTAACCCAAAGACCCTGGTGCTTGGAGTTGCTGGTCTTTCCTGCTTTCTTTTTCCTCAGTGTGATCATTCTGTTAGTTCTGTCCTTTCAACCCCAGAGAAAACACGTATTTGTATTCTTCTAAATCAGTTTTGGCAGCACATAAGTATTTTTCTTTTATGCTATTTTCAACCCTACCCCCCCAAAAAATAATTTTATGTATTTTTTTTATTGCTACTGAGACAAGTATTCTATCACTGATCTCTGACCCCAGCTTTTTTTATTTTCTATTTTGAGACAGGGTCTCACTAAATTGTTCCAAAATGGCTTTGAACTCAGCCCAGACAGACTTGAACTTTTGATCGTCTTGTCTTTAGTCTCCCAAGTAGCTGGGATTACTTGGTCTGTGCCAATAGGCCTGGCTCATCAGAAAGTCTTGAACCTGGAAGTTGTGGCCCACATTTCCTTTTTTTTTTTTGCATTGTAATCTTGTCCTAGGTAGTTCTGTGGTTTATTATCCCTACAGTTAAATGTGTGCGTGAGAGAAGGAGAGAGAATGTAAAATTCTAAAACACCAACCATAAGAAAAGGATAGCTTTTAAAAGGGAAGATTGTCTTATTGTTTCTCAGTATGGTGGCTAACACATAGCCCATGATTAATATGTTGAAAAGTAAATGGAACTTGAGTTTTACTCTCAAGGTTTATTTAGAAAAAAAAAAAAAAAAGATTAAGTAAGTCCTTTCCCCTTGTCTGGTTCCTAAATGTATGTAATTGAAAGAGGAATCTTGTCAAAGTTACCTCTAGCCTCTACTGTTAAGCTTCTGATTATATTTAAGATATATTTTTAGTTTAACACCAGTAGATCCATGGAAACTAACCTTTATCTTTATGTGACAAATCCTTTTGTGAAAATAAAGTGCATAAGCCTAACTCCATCAGGTTCGAATTTAGTTGTTCATTTTCAAATGCCTGTCACTATTTTTGAAACTTGTCTCTGAGTTATAGTCATCCCAGTTGATGTGCAGGACTTTGTTCTCTAGACCTTCTGTAGCTCACTGGTGACCAAGGATGGGGCTTGGATTTTCCTCCAACCAATGCCTATATTTTATAAAATTCAATGTTCCTTTAAAAATGTTAACCAATTGAAATAAGTAAATAGAAGTTGTATACTCCCTCTTTTTATATATGGGGGTGGGGTGTGCAGAATACGAGGAGGCAAGAACAGCATTGTAGTCACCAGAGCCCCAGGGATCTATCTGCCTGTCTCCACCTGGCACTAGGATTACAAGTACTCATCGCCCATCGTGCCTGGCTGTTACTTGGGTTCTATGGCTCAAGCTCTGGTCCTCATGCTTGAAAGGCAAGCACTTTGCATATTTTCAAAGCAAAGACAGTTTCCTACAGAGGGAAAGAGCGGCTTCTCATCATAGTCGGTCCCCTAACTGGTGCGTGTGAGGCATATGACACTGAGATACACAAAACATGGTCTTAGTATCTTGTGTTTATATGAATAGGAGGTATTTCACTTTTCATTTTTATGTTGAAAATTAGAGTACAGGCTAGATGTGGTGGCACAAGCTTTTAATCCCAGCACTCAGGAGGCAGAGGCAGGCAGATCTCTATGAGTTCTAGGCCAGTTGGGGCTACGGGGAGACTCTGACTCCAAAAGAAAAGAAAAAAAAAAATTAGAGTATATTATCCAGGTAAATTTAGAGGGCACGTGATACAACAAAATGAAGATTCCAGAAAAATAGCTTGCTGGTGTACAAGTCCTACGTATCTATGTGTCCTTTTTGTTGTTCAGTCTACTTCAGAGTATGAAGTTGAAGGTATGGCACAGGCCAGGAGGAGAAAGGCTTCTGGCTCTGTTCACAGCCCTTTTTTTACTAGTGCTTCCCAGATTCCTCAGGGTCCAGAGAGCCTGTCCTGTGCTCATGGACTCATTTCAAAAGATGATACCTACCAAGTGAAGTTTACTACACAAAGTGATCTCACTCTATTTTGGCTAATCAAAAACAAGGGAACTGCAAGAGAGTTTCTGAGGAACCTAAGCTTTATGGTTATAAAGCTTCAAGGAAAACTGAAAATGGTCTACAGATCAGCATTGTAACCATCTTAGATCCTTAAGGGTACTGGAAGCCCTGGGAGCCATAAGTCCATGTCCCGAGACTCTGTTCAAAGGCCTCTGAACTTTAAATGTAGTTCTCAAATGCCTACAGCAGAAAGGCCTGTTGCAGAATGAATGTGAATTCATACTTTTCTTTCTTTTGCTTTTGCCTATAGATTGAATATGAAAGGAAAAAGAAAGAAGATGGAAAGCGCGCTCGAGCAGACAAACAACATGTACTCGACATGCTATTTTCAGCCTTTGAGAAACATCAGTATTATAATCTTAAGGACTTGGTGGACATCACAAAACAGCCTGTGGTATGTACGTTCATGCTGATTCACCGGTGTGTCCTGCTATCATTAGTGAGGGGAAGCGTAATTAAGTTCATGCTCACACTAATGACAGACATATCTGAATGCAGCTATTTCTTTTGAACATCAGCGAAGTAGCTTAGTGGGCAAAGGCACTTGCTATACAAGCCTGCCAACCTGAGTTCAAGCCTCTGAACCACAGTGGAAGGAGAGAACTGACTCTGCAAGTTGTACTCTGACCCCCCACACACACATAATAATAATATTTTCTAGATATGATTAATAGCAACAATTTCATATGAGGAAAAGAAACTAGTCTTTTTTTTTTTCTTAACATTAAAAGGTTAACATTTTACCTTTTACATTCTTAATTTTGCATTTTTTGTGAGGAAAGTGCTCTGCTGCTGTGTTAGCAATTCATCTTTAATGACTTCATTCCCTCAGGCATCAAAGCCTTAGAAACAGCATCCAAGCTAGATTAAAATACTTAAAAAAGAATAATTTATTCGCAAGCTGTGTTTCTTCTGGTTTTAGTGAAGTTTATCTTTGTTACTTTAATTTGTAAATATGTCTACATGAAAAGTCCATTCCAGACACTCTGAAAGCAAATAAAGTGTTTTTAGAGGATAAAATATACACAAATTAGAAGTGGGGAAGTAACGCTTACAGAGGGGCATTCCAGTGATACTGGGGAAGGCAGTTTCTTTGCTGACATGAGATACAAGGTTTATTCACTTTGCATCAAAGGAAAGTGTGTTTGGGTGGGTATGTTGTGTTGGTTGTGGTGTTGCGTCCCTATAATCTCAGTACTCAGAAGGCTAAAGTGGGAAGATCACAAGTTCAAGGCCAGTTTGGACTATGCACATATGTACCCTGGTTCAAACAAAAACCAAAAGCATGTCTTTCAGTTATTTAGATTTTTTTTCCCCCTTTTCTCTTTTTCTTTTTTTTTTTTTTTTTTTTTTTTTTTTTTCCTTTTTTGAGACAGGGTCTCACTATTTATCCCTGACTGTCTTAAAACTCATTGTGTAGACCAGACTGGCCTTGATCTTCTGTTTGCCTGCCGAGTGCTGGGATTAAAGATGTGTTCCACCAACGCCCAGTCCTGTACAGATCATTTTCAAGGTGAACTCAGGAGATTTGCTAACTTAGTGACTATGTGCAAAGGCAGTTATGTTTTTCTAGGGGAAAGGTAAATAGTGTCACATTCTCATGGCAGACCATTGATCTAGAAAGTAGATACTTCTTATATTAAAATGATTTAGACACGGTATCAACTAGGGAGGCAGATTGTTCTTTTGAGAGAGGTTCTTGCTTTGTTGCTCTTGCTGAAACACTGTGTTGCCCAGGCTAACCTCAAGTTCCTAATCCTTCCTGCCTCATCTTCCTGAGGACTGGAGTTGCAGATGTATACACTATGTCTGCTCTTAATTTATTATTGATAACGAATTTACAGCTATCAAGTCTCACTACAACGTACCCTCTTTGGTATTAGCAGTACTAATACTATGTTTGCTGACCTTCATAATGTGATTTCCCCCCCTTCCCTTTTTTTCCTCCTTTCCTTCCCCTCCCCTCTGCCCCCCACATTTTTGCTGTCTTGCTATCTCAGCTGTATAGCCCAGGCTGGCCTCAAACTCATAGTCCTCCTGCCTTGGCCTCTGGAGCACTGGTAGCAGAGGCATGTGCTACCATACTCTCCTCTACTTATTTCTTCTCTGTGTCATTTTTTTCTCCCTGAAAACCTTCGTTTCTACATGCAGATTTACTCATTATGGAAACTGTCCCTAGGGACAGACTTTTTCCTCTCCTTTACTAATATGTAGTTTGCATGGATGGCCAAAAACAGTAGAATTTTCTCAAAGACAGATTAGCCAGTTTGAAAAGGCCAGACTTTGGTACCTGATATAAAGTTAGGAATGTAATATCCACTTAATGGAGCTTTTGCTTGTGGTTGAGCTTCTTGGGCTTTTTCCCCTCTAAAATATGAAAGATCAGAAGGAACCTATTATTTTTCCCTAGCACTTAGTGATCCTTACTTTTGCTGTGTTATGTCTGGTCTTCCTTAATCTTTTATCTGTAAAGTAGAAGTACACATCACATTTCCTTTTAAGATACAAGCCAGTGAAAAGTTTTAATTGCACCCATTGAAACCTGAAATTGCCAAGACTTCTCATTCTCAGCCCTACCACTCTGCTTCTAGTATACACCCCTTCACCAGTGTGCCTTTATAGTAAAAGTCCATAGGACCCCAGCTGCAGTTACAACTGGACTTCTCATTCCCTTGTACTCTATCCCAATTTCGGGCCATGTTTCAGGGAGACATATATGTAGCTATTGATGTAACTTATAAGTCAGTGATACCCATGCACATCGATCCAGTGTGCCACCTTTTTTTTTTCTTGTATTTATTTTGTGTGTATGTGGGTGCATGTGTAGAGGTCAGAGGATGACTTAAAAGAGTCACTTCTCTATACCATGTGGTTCTGAGGATCAGACTAAGGTATTCAGGCTCAGCCACAGGTACCTTTACTCACTGAGCCATCTTGCCAGCCCCCTAATGTAACACCTTTTAATTCCAAATATATAGTTGATCAGTTGGCGTGTTTTTAATAGAGTAGGTTCAGGTCACCAGGAAAAACTAAATGCAGCTTGGTGCCCATACTTTAAGCCCTTCAGCTTTCATAATACTTGCCAGTAGTTACTGATCTGCAAGGTAGGCTTCCATACCCAAAACAGTTGCAATGCTGTATCAGCAGTCAAGTAGGATTAACCCAACATTCAGAGGCTATTCCACATAGGCCTAATTAAAGATTTGAATAAAAGTAAGGAAAAATTGGAATTGGGCTCAGCGGTTCAGCACACATACTGCTGTTCCAAACAACTCAAGGTTGGTTCCCAGCACCCAAGTGAGGCAGCTCACAACCACCTACAACTCCAACTCCAAGGAATCTGTTATACTCTTCTGGACTCAGTTACAGTGTTTTTTAAAAGTCATTAGGTGTGGTGGTGCATGCCTTTAATTCTAGCACTTGGGAGGCAGAGGCAGGTGGATCTCAGAGTTTGAGGCCAGCCTGGCCTACATAGTGAGTTACAGACCAGCTGGGTCTACAGGGAGACCCTGCCTCAAAAAGCCAAAAAAAAGGACAAAGTGACTAGAAAATTTGAAATACTGTGCATTTTCCAATGAAAAATAAAAATTTGCAAATATTCCTATTGGGGTCTATAAATTGGTAGAGATTTTAGCTGGAGGAACAGAAACCATCTGAAGCTAGGTTGAACAAGGTTGAACTAGGATTTATTCCCTCACTTAGCTGGAAAGTTCCAGAATGCATGTAGCTTTAGAGAAGGCTAGAACTGGCTTACTAATATTATTTAGTAAAAACTTTCTCTTCCACCTTTTCATCTTCCTTGTCTGTTATCTTTGTAGACAGGCAGAGTCTTACATAGAGTAGCCAGAATGGCTCATCCTGAAGCATCTCACAACTAGCAGCTACTCAAAGTTAGATCCTTCATAGTTATTCCAGTACAAGCCCCAGAATGGGTTCTGACTTTGTGTGCTATTCCTAGACAAAAGGAATGGGACCAACCAAGGACCACTACTTCTCCCTCTCTATACTATTTAGAACAGTGCCTAATCAGTATTATTCCCCCCTTTTTAAAAATACTTTATTATTTTTATTTTATGTGTATGCGTGTATTGCCTGCATGCAGGTAAGTGCACCAGTGTCGTGCAATGTCCACGGAAGACAGGAGAAGCTAACGGATCCCCTGGAACTGGAGTTATGGACAGTTGTTAGCTGCTCTATGTGGATGCTGGGATTCGAACCCGGGTCTTCTGCAAGAACAACCAGTGTCCTTAACCACTGAGCCATCTCTCCAGCCCCATATTATCCCCTTTTTGCTGTTGCAGATTTATTGTGTTCAAAACAGATCTCTTTTGGGGGGGGGGTATGGGTACACATGCACATGTATGCACATACATGTAGAGGCCAGGGCAAACATCAGGTATCATTAGGACTTCCCAGTTAGACTAAGCTCACTTAACTAGCAAGCCCCAGGGATCTGCCTGTATCCTCCTCCTCAGTGCAGGGAGTACTAGCATGTATCACCATGCTCAGCTTTTTTACATGGATTCTGGGGCTCAAACTCAGGTCCTCATGCCTGCACATCAAGCATTTAACAACAGGGTCACTTCCCTGGTCCCAGAACAGAACTCTTGATTCCCATACCACACCAAGCCTCTTTTTCAGTAAGTGACCCCACCATTCCCAAGTTGCTCAAGCCAGACACACCTGTGTCCCTATTTCTTCTTCTTGCTGTGTTCTACAAATTAAGATGTATAGATCTCTCATTTAGGTTCTTTTTTTAAAAAAAATATTTTATTTTTATTTTATGTGTATGAGTGTATTGACTGCATGTGAGTGCACTCGTGTCGTGCAATGCCATGGAGGTCAGAAGAGGGCTTTGGATTCCCCTGGAACTGGAGTTAAGGACAGTTCGTAGCTGCCATGTGGGTGCTAGGAATCGAACCCGGGTCCTCTGCAAGAGCATTCAGTGCTCTTAACCACTGAGCCATCTCTCCAGCTCCTCACTTGGGTTCTTAAAAGTAAAAAGTGGTGTAAGAGCAGTTGAGTTGGGTTTTTTGTTTTGTTTTTTGTTTTTTTCTTAATTTATTAACAGACCCCGAGCAAGCTTAGTGGCTTGGACATAGTTCTCCTGACTTCAGCTAAGGAATGTCTTTGTTTTTTTCTTTTTTTATGTGTATAAGTGTGTTGCCTGCATGTATATGAGCCATCTCTCCAGCCCCAGAGGAATGTCTTTCATCATGTTGTCTGATGTTTATTCCAGCATGTATATAGATCGGCAGACAACCAAGGAAAGTATTTTTCTGACAAAGGAATGTCTTTTTGTTTGGTTTTTTTTTTTTGGTGTTGTTGTTGTTGTTGTTTGTTTTTTGAGACAGCGTCTCTCTGTAGCCCCAGCTGGCCTAGAACTCGCTATTT